CAGAAAAAACTATGTTGAATCAATCATACTTCAATTAACAGACATGCAAATCATCACAAAGCAATACTAGGCCTTACAACTATCAAAAAACATAAAGTCTTCCAATTTTTAAGACATTTCTTTGAATTTATTCAACGTATAGTTAATATAGGCAAATTGCTTCAAGCTTTCATTCTCTTTTGCAGTGAGGAGACTGATTGTAGGGTGACTTGTTCACACTGTACTTCTTGATTGTGACACACACCCTTCTCATGTCAAATATTGCTTTTTTATATACTCTATTACAGATTTCGAGCACCTGATCCATAGTTGATTCTTTGCCAGAATTGGGTTCAAATATAGGTCGAGTCCAAGGTTTTCAGCATCATGAATAACAGTATTCCGTATTACTGATATTTTCTATCCTTCCTTTTCACCAAGATAGATTTGCTGTGATTTTTCGAGTTGCCCTAACCCATTTTAATGATTAGTTGGAAGCAGGGTTCAAAGTAGGTTTTCCCCTTTAGGATTTTTGGTACATTTGGTAGAGTAAATTTTTTTGTTGAACTGACTCTAACTTTGACAAAAATAAGTTCTCTTATTAATCACAACCCTGAATAAGTATCTCTATTTGGATTTAAAAACAAAAAACAGCTAAACAAAACGGACAAATCATTTCATCAAGCTAATCACCTTGAGAAAAAAAATTGTTTTGGAATTCTGATTGGTTGAATTTTGAATGAGCATTTCTAGAAAACAGAAAATTCAGAAAATTCTAAAAAGTAATGTGTAAGTCTTATTTTGAAATTCTATAGATTCTGAAATTAAGAAGATTCTAGAAGTTAATGAGTAATGAAGTCATTTTCTCTGGTGGAAATATCCTACAACTTTTACTGTTCCATAAATGTTAATGTGTAATGAGGCCATTTTATCAGGTGGAATCACTTTTTTAATGGTAAATCATTCATATGACACCTTCTTAATTCTGTCGAGAATCATGCCATACTCTCGGATCACTTTTTTTAGCTATTTTTTTTATTTTTAATTGAATACTTGCTTATAAAGTTCGCGTCAAACTTATTTTGATCCAATGTTTATCCTCACAATTAAAGAGATTTGAAAAAATAATAATTACAAAAGATGAAGTAAATGACAAGCAATACTTATTCACAAAAACTATTAATCAAAGAGCTGTGGAGAATACTGGAGGTTCTCAATAGAACGCAGAGCTGGTGGAGATTGGTGTGGTTGTTGTGCTGCTGGACGCGTCATTGTTTCAGAGAACCCCTCATCTTCATCTGTTGCGATGGGTTTTCAACGGATCTCATCTCCTCCTCCCAAGGAAGAGGGAAGGCGTTGACTGGTTGAGCCACATTTCTAGAGTCAGGAATCTCGGAGTAGTTCACTCCCACATTTTCAGACACTTCCTCAATCATTTGCTTTGTTCCAAGTTGATTCTCTGTGATCGGTACTTGCTTCATATGATGTTCGTTGAAATACATTCGCATCACTTCCACAATGTGCCAGACTTGGATTGTGATGTCCATCCGTGCCAAAAAAACTTCAGTGACTGTATCTCGCATTTCGATTCGTAATAGATCAGGCGAAAATTCTGCCGAGTACATAAGGTTGCTGATTTGAACAGAGAAGACTATTTTGAGCAATAAGTTGAGTAAAAGACACAGAGTAAAAACAAAAAAATGACCGATTTAGAGCTGAGAGAGGAGGTATTTGACGGTAGTTAAGTTGATATTAGCTTGTTTAGAGTTGACAAAGGAGGTATTTGACGGTAGTTAAATTGAAATTAAAATGATTATTGGTTCACAGTGAGGGGTACCTTCAACTCAAATGTGTTGATTTAACCAGTCAGAACTGACTTTTCTTATTAGGTCTGTAGTCGTATTCAATCAGATTTCAGCTTCCTTTTATGGAAAAATTTCTTAAAACTCGTGTCCAATCGGAAATGAAAGTCCATTTTAGGAACTTTTTACACATTGTCGTTTTCAATCACAAAAAAAATCATTTTGTGTCCGATTGTATCCAATAAGAGAAACAATTATCTTTCAAGGACTGAAATCTTCCAAATAAGTAAAAATACACACAAAGGAAATTTCAAAAAAAAACTGATCACAGGTTCTTTGCTGTAAAAATAAGAAATATCGCCGATATAAATAACAAAAGAAAAAATTATATAACAAGTAGCCTCTCGGCACGTTTTCTCATCAAGTCAATTGAATTTTTTGAAATTAAGTAATGAGAAATTAATGATTTTTAAACAGATAGGCAAGTTCTTTGATTTTGATGTAAATTTGAGAGTATATTGAACTTTGATAAATTGTAAATTTAATGCAGGTCTCTGAACTTTGGGAATCTTTTTTAAAAAATGGAGAATTAAAGAACTTTGCTGCGTAGTTTTGTCAACTTTCGAAATCGCGTAGGGGATAAAAGAGTCTTCGATATATTATCTTACGACTTTTGATCAATTTCAAGTTTTCGAGAAAAAATATATTTTTTTCTCTGTCAGGTTTAATTCAGCCGTAAATTTATCGCTTTGTACTCAATTCTTGTTTCAAATGTAAACTTTTTGATTGCGTAATTTTCTCTAAAGAGTCCTTTACTTAGTCGGATAACTGTTTTGTACAATAGAAACGCCCAGTAAATTATGAAAAAAGTAGGAGTCAACATCTATTTCATCAATAGAAAAATCAATTGGAATTTAAATTTTTTCTTTCGTTCTTGTAAAATAACTCGACAAAAACCATATGTTTTCGATAGACATTTTTCAAATAGTGAGGAAAAATTTTATAAATTACAAAACATATTATTTTTAGAAGACCCTGGACTCTAATTGGTTGATCTCGAACATACAGAGTTAGTAAAAGTATACTCCTTGTGATTGGTTAATTTTCCAAAAGGCAATAGCAAAAGCCTTTCATTCGGTTTTTTTTCAAATTAAAAGAATTTGTTTTGAAATTTGCATAACTTTTGTTAATTACTTTTCTTTATTTTTTGGGTCTATTCAAAATTAGTGTAATTCTCCTTATAAAACTTTCTGGACTAAACAAAATTCCAGTTTTTTCGCTCTTTATTGAGATGTCGTCATAGAAGAGATACGAAAGAATTGCATGTCTTGAGTGTGGTAGATGTTACACACGTCAAAATGCATCAAAACATCATAAAACCTATGGAGTTTTGAAGTGTCCAGATTGTAATTTTCATACTTGTAGCAGCGAGGACCTGAATATTCATGTCAAGAAAAAGCAATCTTCTGGTTAAATTAATTTTATTTAAGGTGATAAAAAACACGATCAGCAACTTCCAAACACACACCGCGAGATGATAAATGTGAAAAAAAGTTTAAAAAAATAGTAAACATAGGAAAAATTAGTTTAATTAATAATTTTACTGAGAAATTGTAGCTTGAAAAAATTTCGACATCTACAAAATTTTCATAAAGTTGATTTATTTTAGTAAATACTTTGAAATCATTTCACGCATAAAGTAACTCGAGGAAAATCAAATGACTTTTGATACCCATTTGTCATTGAGGAAACTTTTAAAAATAACAAAGAAATTACTTTTAGAAAACGCTGGACTCTAATTGGTTGATCTCGAACAAACAGAGTTATTAAAAGAATACTCGATTGTAGTTTTTGGGACTAACTAATTTTCCCAATTGTTCTCAAGTTCTTGCTGACATCAATTGAGATGTCTCGTATTGCAGTTGTTATTTTTTGATAAATTAAGTAAAATTACATGAAAATTCAGATGTTTTAAGGATAGTTTCTTTCGATCGAAGTAAGCAACTTCGAGACAAAAATGTTTGGTTAACTGGTACATTTCCCTAATTATTGAGATGTATTTTGTATTGGAGTTGTTATTTTTTGATAAATTAAGTAAAATTACATGAAAATTCAGTTGTTTTAAGAATAGTTTCTTTCGATCGAAGTAAGCAACTCCGAGACAAAAATGTTCGGATACCTGGTACATTTTTCCACTGTTTGGGTTAACAATTTTTTGTTTTTTGATTAAGAAAGCGTTCAGAAACTCAAACATCGTCAAAATCGCGCGCTAAAATTTTTTTCTCAAAATCGGGCGCCAAAACTTACCATCTGACTCTCTCAAACTCTGAAACCTATCTTAATACATTGGGAATTCTATTCCCCATGTTAATACATAGGGTGCGGACTGGATAATCTATAACCTATGTTCATACATGGATGTGCACCCCCCCCCCCCAGACGATTTGGCTCCAACATATACTACTTATGCTGGTGTGCTCATCTGTAGCTATGAGCATTTTAAGACTTTTTCAGGGAAAAAAAACAATCAAAAATCAGCACTACTTTCATTACTCTTAAAAACAACACTAAAACAGACCCGAATACAAATTCTTTCTCAAATGGTCGGAACAAAAGATGGTGATGATTTATTTTTGTCTCATTTGATGTAGCGCTTTCGCAGGGCGTGCTTTGAGCGCTCAATCATTTAACTGAATTTAATTTCAATTTCAAATGACATGTTCTTGCGATGTCTAAATAGATGTTAAATCAAAACATTTGTAGCGCTTTCGCAGGGCGTGCTTTGAGCGCTCAATCATTTAATTGAATTTAATTTCAATTTCAAATGACATGTTCTTGCGATGTCTGACGAAAAGAGTGGTCAGGCAGTGGTGTTAAAAGTTTTCAGACTCTCCAAGTTCTTAATCTTTAAACCACAGCACAGCCATGAGTTGCAAATAAATTATTGCCCTTCAAACAGACGCAAAATGAGATATAACATGAGCAGAACCCGCAAAATGAGATATAACATGAGCAGAACCCGCAAAATGAGCAGAACCCGCAAAAAGTCAAAAACCACTTTCATAATGCAATTCATTCTACTTTTTATCTAACAGCTGATCAAGTTAATATCTGATTGGCTGAAAATAACTATTTGTTAAGACCCCTCCCTCAAACCTCCCTTTTGACCGCTAACTCGAAATTCGGGTAAATAGATGTTAAATCAAAACATTTGCTCTATCTAAATACGAGATTTCATCAAAAATTAGATATTTTATTTACAGAACATGCACAAATACTAGAACCTAACATCAAATATCGGCGAAAATATTGACATGGCAGTTCGATAGCACAGTTTTTTAGATATGAACAAACAAATCTTCGTTAAACCAATCTTCACACGTTTAACTCATCCGCGTCATTATCGTTTTGTTGCTGCAAGTGATGACTGTCTCTAGTAGCTCCCTGAAAGTAAACATCCATTAAAATTTACTTCAACTTAGTTCAACTCGCTGAAATGGGTAGACGTCAGTTGAGTCCAAAAGAAAATGTTGAGCTATAAAACTTTGAAACTCAAAAAATTTACGCCCCATTACTCCTTAAACACACAAGACCACAGCAATCTATTTTTGCCCTCAAACGATGCAAAATGATATAAAGCATAAGTACAATCGATTCAAGGAAAAAATAGGCAACTTAACAAAATCTGAGTGGGTAAACGTAAACTACAGAAGCACTTTTAATTATAAAGTTTGCCAAAACATATTTTCAAAGCTGCCTGTGTTGTATGGCATCTATTGCGAAGCTATAATTGGTCTAGTTCCTTGTCAGGGTGGTCGGAACAATAAAAAAAACATCTTTGTAACTCATTTGTCCTCGCATCCTCTCAACTCACCTCTTCGCCCTTATCAAAGTTTGCTTCAGGTCTCCTCCTGTCTCCACTGGGTAGGGGTTCTGATCTGGTTGTTCGAACAAGTTCTGTGCCATTTGTAGAGGCCATGAGCTGCTTAAACTCTTTTCTGAGAGCGGCTGTTGTGAGGATTGAGGACAGACAGAGTGGCACCATGAACACCAGCGCAGGCTGTGCCGACTGCATCACAGTCAGACTCACAAACACACAAGCGAAACTCAACGCATACGCTGAAAGCAAACGCTTTATTATTCTTAATGATAAACTGTAGCCAATATTTGCTTGAACCAAATTGGTGAGCAACAAAAATGGCTTTTTATGAGTTCCTTAGACTTTTCCATGCTGTTTTCAGGTTCTAAAATTCATAAACTAATTTCCGAGGACAAAATGAGCAGTTTAAGGGAACAAACGTTAGTCAGAATTGTTAACCGTATATCGTTAACCGCATTAACCTTATATCGCTTGGTAGAACACGCAGAGTGGATTTGGACAGGACACTCCTTCGGCATGCCCCTACCCCTACCCCGCCCCTTACCGCATCTGATTCTATGAAGAAATAATGCTAAAAATGTTTTCAAACCGTAGACTAGCAGTGTGTATATTTAGGCAGGAGAAAACGTTCATTGAATGATGACATTCGCTACTTAAACGACTGGCCAAAACAGACAGAATTCGAAATGCATCAACCTGTTATGGCAACGAATACATAGACTGCACTTGGTTTCTTCGACTGTAGAAGTCCGAACACTCCCGCGTGAACAATCATTAAGCCAGGTACGATCACATCGCCCATGCCCAGGATGTTGAATGAGATCTAAACATTAATGCTCATTTCAAAAAACAGCCAACAGACTATTGGAAAAGTGTCAATGAACGCAACAAAATAGAAAATAAATGATATATGGGGAAGAAAAAAGAGCAGTGACTGAGTTCCCCAGCTTTAAGTCGAAAGGTCAATTATTCGCGGGCCACCATGCTCCAAGCTTGAGGGTACGGTAACATTTGCCAGCCCAGAAAAATAACAAACAATTCACTTAGGTTATGTTTAAAAAGATTATAAAAGCGGTTCTTTGTAGAGCTGAAACTGTCGATGGGGCCAAACTGTCGATTAAAAACTTCGGTATACTTAAGCTTGTAACTTAACTGTTTAAGCTTTTAACTGCATTAGTCTCGAAATTTAAGTTTTGTTACAGGTCTCGAATATATTTCCTCTGTATTATTATTCACTAGCAAATTTCACAATTAAAACACCAAAATATCAATCATAGCCAACAGACAGTTGGAAAAGTGGCCAAGGAACCTAAGATACCGCAAAAAAATGTTGAACAATTGTTCAACCTTCGAGTTACTTTGCTACAGTTCATTGAATTTCAACAAGCTTTGATTTACATCTTTTTCATGAACCTAAATTTTAAAATCTCAAAACATAGCATTTGTTGACCATGACATTCAGGGGCGGATCTAGGATTTTCTCGAGGGGGGTGCGGATTTCCAAAAATGTTTCGAAAATTCTGACGACCATTTTTTTGGGTCGACCAAATTCATTTTTTGGGCTCTCCCAAAGCACTGTTCTTCCCCTATTTTAGGCTTAATTTTCAGAGCCGCAGGAAAATTTTAGAATAAACAGTCAAAAAAAGAGTAAACAGTTTTTGGGCACTTTTTGAAAAATGTTGACAAAAAAATCGCGTTTTTTTGGCGCGCGCTCCCCCTCAAAGTTAGTATATATTGGCGCCAAAGGCGCCTTTAGAAAAATTTTAGGGTCGGTCAGCCAAAAATAGATTTCTTAAAAAGTATCCGTGCATTTACAGGTAGGGAAATCGTAGACTAAACGACTGACCTGTACGCAAGGCGAGTCTGGTGAGTTGAAATTCCAGAGTGATGACAGCTCAGCCAGAAACAACATGGGCAAAAACTAGAACATAACAGACGCAAATGTCAGCCACAAATGATAGATGTAAGTAATAGGTACACGTTGCACATCAAACCAGTTTCAGTAAAACTACCATTTTTGCTTCGCCTACTATTATGATGGGGCAGAACTCAGAGGAAAAATTAAAAACAAAAACAACGAGGTAGCAGAACTCAATGCAGCGCGAATAATTTCAAATTGGATGGTGCTCAGACAATTTTTATGTCTTCTGCTGGTCCAAGTTGGGACATTTTGTTGAATTTGGTATGGTTACTCAGTTAGAGAATGAGATCTTTTCTCTCTCTCTTTCAAACTTCATTCTCCGACAGCAGTATTCACATCCCATCCTCAATAACATAAACATTGGGTGATGAGAGTTCTTATTTTCACACTCGCATGACAGAAACAACAATTTCCTAACACTTGATTCTTTCTTCTGTCAATTCATGTACCTATCTTTTCAGCCGTAGGGTTACAGAATGTCAAGGTCACGTATGTAAACGCAACTGCGAAAACAGAGAGTGCATTACCTGACTGGGATCTGGGTCCCCTTTGCCCCCTGCTCCTGATCCTGCGGACCCTGTGGCCGCCTCCTCCATTATGCTCTTTCCTGATTGGGTGAAAAGGGGCGTGACGTAGACTGCTATTGCGTCATACACCAGAAACACCACACTCAGAACAGCCAGCCACTAAGCACAACACAGCATTCAAAACTAATACACTCGTAAGCATGCTGACAATTAATTTTTAGCGCCAATTCAATTTTGTCATTGGAAAGCTGGACTCTTGGTCACTAATTTATATCAGTTGTTTCTCAAAAAATATTGAAGTAATATAACATGGACATAATATGGACGCAGTTTAACACGGACGTAACACAAGGGCAGGTAAAAAAAATTGACCGCACACTTCTCTGAAAATAGTTTTTTTTCTACTTCATCAAACAGCAATTTTGTTTAAAAGATTTCCAGTACCGCAGAATATGCATATTCTGCTCGTCGGCAAATTTCTGTAAAGGCTTATACAACACGGAAGTGATATAACGCGGACGTAATATAACAAGACTGCTCGTATCAGGGCGAAGCCCTGAACGTTCCGACTGCCTTTTACGGTTTATGGAGCAGTAATTACAAAAAAAAAATAAACGTAATAAAATAAAATTAAAATTTTTTTTCTAAAATTTGAAATTTTTAATGAAAATCATCCGCCCACACGCCATATAAAATACAAATGATAGATTTCGCTCCTTGTAACAAATCAATTATGGCAATTAAGCTTCTTTCAACCAATTTTAAATGATTTCTAGGACGGATTAAATCTCCGCTTACGCGTTAATAGCGCGAAATATATCGCGCGTTAATTGTCCCAAATTGGCAACCTTTAAACCCCTATAACTTCACGAAAAATGATCACAGGTGAAATATCTTTTCAAATTTGAGCTCAGGACAACAATGCTTTTTGAATGATATAAAAAAATTCCATCAAAAATGGCTAGTTAAAAAGTCGAAATTTGTCTGAAAAAAAACCACCGCGAGCACAAATATGCCGTTACATTCGTATCGAAAGTCGGAACAACAAGGACATAAAATGGACGTTGAAACTAGGACGTAAAATAACATGGACATATTATGGGCGTAAAAAACAAGGACACTAATAACACGGACGTAAAACGTAAAATAATACGGACGTAATATACCACGGACGTAAAATGGACGTAAATTAACACGGACGTAATATGGACGTCATACAACACGGAAGTAACAAAGACATAATACAACACGGACGTGATATGAACGTAAAACAACACGGACGCAACATGACCGCCATTTAGCACGGATGCAATATGGAATAGAAACAACACGGACGTAAAAAAACACAGACCTAACATGGACGTAATACACCACGGATTTAATATGGACATAAATAACACGGTTGTAATAAACCACGGACGTAATATGGACGTACTATAACACTGACCATAAATAAACACGGACGAAACATGAATGTAATATAACGCGGACGTAAAATGAACGTAATTTAATACAAACGAAATACATCATGGACGTAAAATGGACTTAAAAAAACAAAGACGTAATATAACACGGACATAAAATAACATGGAAAACTTGAGAACGTATTATAACACGGAATTATAATGGAAGTTAAATAACGCGGAAAAGATATAAGATTGACGTAAAATAACAAGGATATAATATCACATGGTGAAATAACATGGACTTAAAATACCACGGATGTAAAATGGACTTAAATTAACACTGACTAAATATAACATGCTTAATATTTGGACGTAAAATAACATGGACGTAAAATTACATGAACGTAATAAAACACGGACCTAATAAAACACGGACGTAATCTGGACATAATTTAACGCGGGCGAAAAAAAACAAGGACCTAATATGGACGTAAAATGACACTCACTTAATATAAGATAGACTTTATATAATACGGACGTAACATGAACGTAAAATAACACAGAGTAATGAACATAATATAACAAGGACGTAAAATAACATAGAAGTCTTGAGGACGTATTAGAACACGGAATTATAACGGACGTGAACTCACGCGGAAAAGATATAAGATGAACGTAAAATAACAAGGACATAATATGGACTTGAATTAACACTGACCAAATATAACACGCTTGTGATTTGGACGTAAAATAACATGGAAGTAAAATAACATGGACGTAATAAAACACGGACCTAATAAAACACGGACAGAATCTGGACATAATTTAACGCGGGCGAAAAAAAACAAGGACCTAATATGGACGTAAATCAACACAGACGGTTGCTATATAGCACGGACGTAATCTGGACGCTTTATAACACGAAAGTAATGAGCGTAAAAAAACTTGGACGTACAGACCACGGGCGTAAAACAGCACTATGTAATATTACGCGGACGTAAAACAACGCGGAAGTATTAAGGACGGTTAACCGACGTAAAACAACAAGGACATAATATAAAATGGACGTAATATAACGAACGTACAATGGACGTAAAAAACCACGGACCTAATATGGACGTAAAATGACACTGACGTAATATAAGATGGACTTTATAAAACACAGAGGACTTTATAAAACACATGGACGTAAAATAACACAGAGTAATGAACATAATATAACACGGACGTAAAATAACATGGAAGTCATGAGGACGTATTATAACACGGAATTATAATGGACGTTAACTAACGCGGAAAAGATATTAGATGGACGTAAAATAACAAGGACATAATATAGACGTGAAATAGCATGGACCTTGAATACCACGGACGTAATATGGACTTAAATTAACACTGACCAAATATAACACGCTTGTGATTTGGATGTAAAATAACATGGACGTAATAAAACACGGACGTAAGCTGGACATAAGTTAACGCGGGGGAAAAAACAAGGACCTAATATGGACGTAAAATGACACTGACATAAAATAAGATGGACTTTATATAGCACGGACCTAACATGAACGTAAAAATACACAGAGTAATGAACATATTATAACACGGACGTAAATCAACACAGATGGTTGCTATATGTACGGACGTAATCTGGACGCTTTATAACACGAAAGTAATGAGCGTAAAAAAAACTTGGACGTACAGACCACGGGCGTAAAACAGCACGATGTAATAGCACGCGGACGTAAAATAACACGTAAGTATTAAGGACGGTTTACGAACGTAAAACAACAAGGACATAATATAAAATGGACGTAAGGTAACGAACGTAAAATGGTCGTAAAAAACCACAGACCTAATAAGGACGTAAAATGACACTGACGTAACATAAGATGGACTTTATAAAACACGGACGTAGCATGAACGTAAAATAACACAGAGTAATGAACATAATATAACACGGACGTAAAATAACATAGAAGTCTTGAGGACGTATTATAACACGGAATTATAATGGACGTTAACTAACGCGGAAAAGATATTAGATGGACGTAAAATAACAAGGACATAAAATAGACGTGAAATAACATGGACCTTGATTACCACGGATGTGATATGGACTTAAATTAACACTGACCAAATATAACACGCTTGTGATTTGGACGAAAAATAACATGGACGTAATAAAACACGGACGTAATCTGGACATAAGTTAACGCGGTCGAAAAAAACAAGGACCTAATATGGACGTAAAATGACACTGACATGAAATAAGATGGACTTTATATAACACGGACCTATCATGAACGTAAAATAACACACATTAATGAACATATTATAACACGGACGTAAATCAACACAGACGGTTGCTATATAGCACGGACGTAAAATGGACGCTTTATAACACGAAAGTAATATGAGCGTAAAAAAAACGTGGACTTACAGACCACGGGCGTAAAACAGCACGATGTAATATTACGCGGACGTAAAACAACATGGAAGTATTAAGGACGGTTAACAGACGTATAATGGACGTAAAAAACCACGGACGTTAAAGAACAGGGACGCTTTATAACACGGACGTATATGAACGTAATAGAACACAGACTTAAAACAACACGCAAGAATTTAGGACGTGTAAAGGACGTTTAATGGAAGTTGAACAACACGGACGTAATATAAAATGGACGTAATATAACACGAACGTAAAAAGGACTTAAAATAGCACGGTGTTAAATGGAGGTAAAATAACACGGAAGTAATATAACACGGACGTAATATGACTTAATTTTACGCGGACAGAACAGAATACGGACGTAGTACGGACATAACATAACACAGACGTAATAGAACACAGACGTAAAACAACACGGAATAATTTAGGACGTGTAAAGGACGTATAACGGAAGTTAAACAACACGGACGTAATAAAAAATGGACGTAATATAACACGAACCTAAAAAATACTTAAAATAGCACGGTGTAAAATGGAGGTAAAATAACACGGAAGTAATATAACACGGACGTAATATGACTTAATTTTACGCGGACAGAATAGAATACGGACGTAGTACGGACATAAAATAACACTGACGTCAAAGAACACGGACGTAATATGGACGTATTATAATACTGGCCTAAATAAGACGGACGAAATAAAGAAGTAATATAACACGGACGTAAAGTGGACGTAAAGACAAACGAAATACAGCACGGACGTAAAATAACACGGACAACGACAAAATAACACGGAGACAATAAAAAACTAAAATAACACGGTCGTATTAGAAATCTAACGCAATATAAACGCAATTTAACACGAACAAAACACAACACAGACGTAATATGGACGTAAAAACAAGTTCGTAATATATGAAGGAAGTAATATAGACGTAAAATAACACGGACGTAAATACCACGGATGTAAAATTGACATAAAACAACATGGACGTAAAAAACACGAAAGTAATATGAGCGTAAAACAACTTGGACGTACAGATCACGGGAGTAAAACAGCACGATGTAATATTACGCGGACGTAAAACAACACGGAAGTATTAACGACGGTTAACGGACGTATAATGGACGTCAAACAACAATGACATAATATAAAATGGACGTAAAAAACCACGGACGTTAAAGAACAGGGACGCTTTATAACACGGACGTATTTGAACGTAAAATAACACGGACGTGAATATCAGCGGCTTAACATAACACAGACGTAATAGAACAAAGACGTAAAACAATACGGAAGAATTTAGGACGTGTAAAGGACGTATAACGGAAGTTAAACAACACGGACGTAATATAAAATGGACGTAATGCAACACGAACCTAAAAAGGACTTAAAATAGCACGGTGTAATATGGAGGTAAAAAAACACGGACGTAATATAACACGGACGTAATATGGACTTAATTTTACGCGGACAGAACAGAATACGGACGTAGTACGGACATAACATAACACAGACGTAATAGAACAAAGACGTAAAACAATACGGAAGAATTTAGGACGTGTAAAGGACGTATAACGGAAGTTAAACAACACGGACGTAATATAAAATGGACGTAATACAACACGAACCTAAAAAGGACTTAAAATAGCACGGTGTAATATGGAGGTAAAATAACACGGACGTAATATAACCCGGACGTAATATAACACGGACGTAATATGGACTTAATTTTACGCGGACGGAATAGAATACGGACATAAAATAACACTGACGTTAAAGAACAAGGACGTAATATGGACGTATTATAATACTGACTTAAACAAGACGGACGAAATAAGGAAGTAATATAACACGGACGTAAAGTGGAGGTAGAGACAAACGAAATACAGCACGGACGTTAAATAACACGAACAACGACAAAATAACACGGAGGCAATTAGCAACTAAAATAAGACGGTCGTATTAGAAAACGAACGCAATTTAACACGAACAAAATACAACACAGACGTAATATGGACGTAAAAAACAAGTTCGTAAAATACGACGGAAGTATTATAGACGTAAAATAACACGGACGTAAACACCACGGATGTAATATGGACGTAAAAACACGGATGTAATATGAGACGGACTTAAAATGACACGAACGTTATATGGACATAAAATAACGCTTACGTAATAGAACACAGAAGTAATATAACACGGCCATAATACAAGACGGACGTAACAAGAATGTGAAATAACACAGACTACCTTGGGCATAAAACAACACGGACGTAAAAACACACAGACGTAATATTGACAGGAAAAAACACGGATGTTAAATGAACGTAAAATAATACGGACGTAATATAACATGAATGCATAATGGACGCTAAAAAACACTGACGTAAAATAACATGGACGTAACATAACACGGACGTAATCTAACACTGACCTAAAACAAAACGGACGAAATATGGACGTAAAACAACACGGACAAAAACAACACGGATGTAATATGGACGTAATTTAACACGAACGGAAAACAACACCGACATAATATGGACGTAATATAACCCGGACCAAAAACCAAACGGAGTAGAGCACAAAGTAGTAGACGTCCCGAACATAAAACGTCGAAGTAAACCACAAACATAATATGAACGTAAATCAGCAAGAATAAAATACAAATTTGACCTAATAAAACACGGAGGTAATATAACATAGACACAATATGGACGTAAAATAAACCAAATGTATTATGGACGTAAAATAACACGGACGTAATATGGATCTAAAATCGCACTGATAGTGTGGAAGTAGTATAACACGGACGAATAATGGACGTAATATTACACATACGTGTTATAGACCTAAGGCAACTCTGACGTAATACAACACGGACTTATTATGGACGTAATTCAACACTAACGAAACACAACATGGACGTAAATCACAAGGAGGTAATAATGACGTCATATAACACCGATGCAAAATAACACGGCCGTAATACAACACGGTCGTAATATACCACGGAAGTATTATAAACATAATTTAATACGAACGAAATAAAACACGGACATGATATGACGCAAGCAATTACGGAGGTAAAATGAACGTCATTTAACACGGACGTAACATGGACGTAAAATAACACGGACGTAATTTACGACGGACAAAATATGTATGTAATAAAATACGGAAATAATAAGGACGTAAAATAACATGGACGTACGATACCACGGATGTGAAATGGACATAAATAACAAGGACGTAATATAGCATGGTCTTAATGTGGACGTACAATAAGACGGACGTAACATGGACGTAAGATGGCAGGAACATAATATAATAATAATATACGCGAATGTAATATGGACTTCATTTGACTCGGATGGAATGGAACACCGACGTAATATCGACGAAAAAGAACACTGACGTAATATAACATGGACATAAAATGGACGTAAAATAACATGGACGTACGATACCACGGATGTGAAATTGACATAAATAACAAAGATGTAACCTAGCATGGTCTTAATATGGACGTACAATAAGACGGGCGTAAAATGGACGTAAGATAACACGAACTTATTATACGCGAACGTAATATGGACTTCATTTAACTTGGATAGAATAGAACACGGACGTACTATGGACGGAACGGAAAACTGACGTATAACACGGACATAATATGAACGTAAAATAACATGGACGTAAGATACCACGGATGAAAAATGGACGTAAAATAACAAGGACGAAATACAACACGGCCGTAAAATGAAAGTAAAATAATACGGACGTATTAAGGACTTAATATAACACGGACGTATAATTGACGTTAAAAAACACGCACGTAATACACCACGGACGTAATATGGACGTAATTAACACGAACGAAATACAACACGGAAGTAATATAGACGTGAAATAACACGGATCGCGAATAACACGGACGTAATATAACACGGTTCGGTCGAAAAAGACGATGAACGTAATATGAAAGTAAATTAGCAAAACTATATAGAACACGGACGTAATATAACATGGGCGTAAAATAACACGAACGCAAAATAGACGTAATATAACACGGACATAAAAAAAACACGGAAGTAATCTGGACGTAACATAACACAGATGTGAAATGAATCTGAAATCGCACGAACATAGTGTGGAAGTAGTATAACACGGACGTAATATAAAACAAACGCACTGTGGGCGTAAAATAACACGGACGTAATATAACACGAAAGTATTATAACACGGACAAATTATGGACGTAATATAACATGTACGTAATAGAACACAGCTTATTTGGACGTATAATAACACGGAAGTAACACAACACGAACTTAATATGGACGTGAAACAATACGCACATACTATGAACGTAATATAACACGGACATAATATGGACGTAAAAAACAAGCAGGGAAAAAAGATGTTTAAAAAAACACGGAATAATATATTAAAACAATAACTAGAGTTCAGAGGTTTAAAACCGCGAGAAAAATCATGATCTGCAATTTGCAAACTTCCTGTTAGTTTCTTCAACACAGAAGCGAAGCTGCGTTTCGCAAACAAAGCGAGATAACGGAAAAAATAGCTGTAAACAAAAAAGAAAAAGTGAACAAAAACTTGAAAATTAAAATTTTGCTCTGGCGGAATCGAACTTACGACTAGGAAAATTGGATTTGCACATACTCGCATCTACGCCACGACTCCTTGAAAACTTACCAAAACTAGGTACCAATAAAACGTCTACATATGCTAACAAATTGCCAATGGTCTGAAGCAAAAGTGGCACCAGATATAACAGACACAAATTTTGTATGTAATAATTTGGAATATAACACAGGCCAAGCCGTGCGCCGCAAACACAAGAGAACAAGACAAAAGCAGCTCTATAAATTCTAAAAGAAAAACTAGAAATTAGCTTCAAGTTACCAAAAATTCGGCTCGAATTGGAAGCGACCTAGAGATTAAGAGCCTCACACACTAACCACACAGCCACGGACACTTGTTACATCACGCTCACTAGCCACAGAAAAAAAAACAGAGAACAGAAACTATGCAATTTCCAATGCTACAGTGAAATTTCCATAAAAATGAACACTTTTTATGAACAAGTGAACATTGGCGAGTTAGGTTCGAAAAAAGGTTCCAAATTATCTATCAATTATGCATTTCAAAAAATTGCAAGATATATTGAGGTAGAAAATTTCTCAATTGTACATTTGTATTGTACTGTTGTATGAAACAATAAGCTTTTTTCAGTTCATTTGATGAATTAGAATGCATCAACTGTGCTAACATAAAACTAATCGAATGTCAAAGCACCGGTTTCAAAAGTGTCACCAAAAGTAGCATTAATATTTGCGACTTGAGTTGGAAAGAAAAGAATACCCCTAGTTAATTACACAAGCCGGCTAAGTGAAATAGTACGAGTATTCTTTTTTCTAACTTAAGTCGCAAAAATTATTGCTAATTTTGGTGGCCACAGTTAAGTTAAGTGGCCACAATAAGTTACCACAGTTGATGCATTTAAATTTATCAAATGAACTGAAAAAGCTTATTGTTTCATACTAAGCCGGCTTGTGCAGTTAACTTAAGTGAGGAGCAGAAAAAGACTTTGCTCTACATCACAAGCTACCCGTACACTCGACTCGCGTAAACAACAGGATATCGGACGTTTTGGATCACAGTTAAGTTGATTTCATGACAGCAAACTAAACACTCTTACCTTGAATGAGGGCATCTTCGATCTACTGAGGACGTAAATGCATATTGAGAAGCTAAGAACATCCCAGAGGATCCAAATCCACCTATAAATTGCCGTTGATTTTAAAAAATAATTGCAAAATCGAGGTGAAATTGGCAGCCCTGGTACTTTTTTTTACACAGGTATCGCTGTACTTCGTGAATAAAAAAAGGGATCAAAAAGTAAAAACAAATTTATTCCCCTGCGAAATCCAAAAAATTAAACACTTTCATAACTTTCGATGTCATTTTTTCGCGCCACTTCCGCCTTTATTTTTGGACAGCGAAAATTTCAATTCTATTTAATTTAAATGAGAGTCTTTTCTTTATTCATTGGCAGTTAAAAGGGGCTTTAAACGGGGTCTAAATGTCCGTCCGATTCTTCTGGAGCAGACAATTCCGTAATTCGATTTCACTAAGCAGCGTCGATTTCCCTAGATTTCAATGCCTAATTTTTCATGATTTTGAAACCCATTTAGTAGTTACACTGACTGTTTATCGATGAAGAACAGCCAACAGAGGCCCAAAGCAGCTCCGATAAGAAATCCAGGCACCACTCGGGCAAAGAACACAAGCTTTGACCTGAAACGAGAAGACAAACATTGAATACCAAAGAAGGGCAGCAGCATAGATGGTTCCCACTACGTATTTATGCTTTTGGATTAGTTAAATTTTATGTAATTTCTTTGCAATTAATAATAAATTCAAAAACTTTTACAGAGCTTTTCTTCGCTAAGTAGATTAAGTGCTGCAGCTTGAGCACAAGTTTTTCACCATGATCAAAAAGAAAACAAAGCTAATGCAAATTTCAATCCTTAATCTGTACGTCAATCGGCCACTCCAGCCATTAAAATCATCAAACCAGATCCCTTTTAGTGGACGTGTACAGTGCTGATTCAAATTACCCGGAAAAAAGTTGAATTTTTAAACACGTTTTTCTCAAATTGGGTCCAGACTAGACATAAAATGAAGAGAACAAAAGTTGCTTAGAATTACATCAGAATTAATATGGTGCAATTTTGTCTTTGAAATTCTCAACAAAATTTTACCCCAAAAATGGGTCAATTTGGCTTTTTTCAATTAATCGAAAATTACGCCAGAAACTACTTTGTTAATTGATGAGAAAATTATATCACAAGTAGCCACTACACAGCTCAACAAAATTCTATAAGGACTAAATCTCCAAAAATGTGAGTAAATTGTTTAAAATTTGTTTTTAAGCAAAGATTTTGAGTTTTATGTAGAAAAAATATTTTCTCTTATACAAGTTTTTGGAGATTTAACTCTTCTAGAACTTTGTTGGGCTTCTTGTGATTTTTATTTCTCATCAATTAACAAAGTAGTTTCAGCGAAACTTTAATTAATTGAAAAAAGCCGAAATGACCCATTTTTGCGGTAAACCTTTGGTTAAGAATTTCAGAGAAAAAATTACACCATATTAAATCTGATGAAATTCTAATCAACTTTTGTTCTGTTCACTTTATGTCTAATCTTAACGCAATTTGAGAAAAACGTGTTTGAAAAATCAAGTTTTGTTCATTTTGTCTGGATAATTCAAATCAGCACTGTATAATGTTAGCATGAAAACAGATGAGAGCAGAAACATGTTTTACCCTAGTGGCTGCAGCTGCAGAGAAAATGTGAATCTGTCGAAGAGTCTAGTTCCGAATGAGGAGAAAGAGAGGGCAGAGAAGAAGATGTACAGCACCACCATCACCCACCCTGAGCAAAACAAAACACACACACAACATAACACATGACTCGAGTCGAAACAACTCATTATAGAACAGAATTGTTATTTATTAAAATTAACACAGAGGCAAAATGTACACCAACCAACCAAAAAAAATGGAATATATAAAAGAAAACAGTTTTGAAAACTGTGGCATATCAGAAAACTTTTACAAAATTTTACCAGCAAATTTAAAAAATAGCAGTGAAGCTTGAAAGTGAAGCTGCACTTCACAAACAAAACGGCAAAAAGCACAATGCATTTAACATATCTTTCGAAAGCAGCCAATCTTACAACAGATATGGGCTCTTTTCCAGTCCCCACCTTTCGAACTCATTTTGGAAAAACAACACTAACCTTGTTAAAATGAGATTTGACTAGGTGACAACTAACAGCTGTGGAATATTTGTTCTTTAGATTTTAGATCATTAAATTTAACATTCAGCCATAATAACACTGAGCTTCGTAAACACAAGCGAGAAAACAACAAAAATCAGCTCTAAAAATTGAAAAAAAATCAACTGATATAAGCCTTGAATTAGTAAAACTTTTGTTTTCTGCTGGATTCGAATCTGCGCCCTCGAGATAATGAGTCCCACATCTTACCCTCTCAACCACGGACGCTTGACTAACAACAAACACTAGCCACCAACAAAGATAACAGATACAATAAAATTTGCCATGCTGCAGCAGATCGTGATTATAGCAAAAGTGCTACCAAATGAGCACTTTCATCTGCGAGTTAGGTTAGGAAAAAGAAGAGTCACTAATACACTACGCTCACAAGCTCGCCCGTGTAAATATATAGTTTGAAAGATGTGGGTTGGAACGGAAAAAAACAGCTTTGGAGTCTACAGGACTTCAACCGCCGAACTCTCGGTCAAGAGTCAGTTGCCTTCGACACTAGTCCACTGCTGCTTGAAAACGACTACTTGCTGACATACTCAAATATCAATAACCAGGCAGCAATAAATGCGCTTAAAGAGCGGATATAGCAAATTTGCATAATTTACAATGCGTTGCTTCATTTATCGCTCAAAAAAGAAGTGCAACGTGCTCAAGTATTAAAATGAGTTTGCAAAAAAAATGCAACGTCTTAAAAATTTCCGAGACAATTATTTGCTAGTTGGGTTGGAAAAAAGTGGCTTCGTAATATAACACTATGTTAGCTGGCTCGCAGTTTTAACAAATCTTTATTTCAAACCCAATAATTTTATTTCATAATTACTGCTATTGTTTTTTAAACGATTTTTTTTTTGGTAAATTAGACTATCTTAATTTTGTCAATTTTGCGCAGAAAAAGCTATTCACTTATTTATGAACTTCATTGTGAAATGAAACCAGGCACCTATACTAATGTATAAGAGAAACTTTCGTCCGCGGAGAATCCAATAAGCGAAAATTCGTCAGTCGATCAAATTCACTATTCAAAAATTCGATGCAAATAAACAATTAAATCAGATTGCACATTGATTGGTTCAGAATTACGCACATTAAAATTTTCGCGCATGAGAAAATACCCCTAATTTATCATCACAGTCGAGATTTTTGACCTGAAGTAACACTAGACATTTGTAACACAGCGGCGAAGCTGAGCTTTGCATCACTTACGATTCAAAGCAAAAAGAAACGAAAAAAAATCGAAAAGGTCGAAAACAAATTAGATCTATTAAAATGAATAAAGCTAGTTTTGAAACAAAAACACGACAAGACAATAGAATGTGTAATCAGCATCGGAAGATAATGTACCCAGCGGTAACAAAGTCAAAAATACCCTGTTAGAAACAAACCTGAACAAAACTTCAGGCATCTGAAAATATAATACGTCCACCTCAACCTCAAAATACTTAATTTGCTCGTCAAAGATACAACATGAGGACACTAAGCCGATATATAATAGGTCGAAACCTATTTAGCCCCACAAAAGAAAATTAAAAAAAAAAACATTTAAGACCAAGAAGATGTCAAGTCCCCCTCAACCTCAAAACAGACACGCACACAAAAAACTTTTTTCACTGGTCAAAAGACGCAATATGAGGCGAATAAGCTGATACAAACTGTTTAAAAAAATTTATGATGAAAAACTTAACTATATTTATATTAAAAAAATTAAGCATTTTGCGCGATCCAGAAGTGAGCATTAAGAAAAGTTTCCGTTGAAATGACTCGAAATTAGGTCACTACGCTGATAAAAAATAGGCCGAAACCATTTGGTCAGAATAAAGCTTTTAACCGAAAAAAAATATATATATACGAAGTCAATTTAAGTAAAATTACAAACAGCAGAGGTTAATCAGAACACTACAAGCAACTATGAGGAAAACTTTAAGAAGTATCTACACTATGGCAACTATACCGACAAAATATAAGCAGACAATAATAAGTCGGCAATTTTTTTTGAAACGGACTATTTCCCGTTTTGAAAAAAAAAACAGGTCCGATCAGTTAAACCAGGATCTTTGGCGTCCCAGGCGTATTGGTTACCTCAATAATAAGTGTGCCGGAGACGCTTAGAAATTCGAATTCATTATGAACCAAGATACCTATTGATTCAAGTAATTCTGTTAAACAAGCTGTTAACCCGAAAAAAGTCTATAATCCAGTTTGATAACGCTTGCTAATCGCAAGTGTAACAATCTAAATATTTTGCAATGTGGATGTAATAAAAGCTGCTTACAAAGAACATCGTGGAACAAGAATATGAGCACTAGAGCAGTCACTACGATCAGTAGAGCAAACAGAATAGAGAGCACTGAAGACACCATCTCTACTGTCTTGTTCGAGCCAAGTCGTCCACAACTCGACTTCGCACTCTTTTGTCTCCTTTTATGCCTTGCATTCTCTTCCGCCGACTCATTGCCATTGTCTTCGCCAATTGCAACTTCACCTCCATTGCCACTTAAACACCCAGCGTACACTAGATTAGATTGGGTTCCCACTGAATCAAATCACGCAAAAAAAAGATAATTCCCAAGTACGAATCACGCCACAAAAGCTACGATAGAAGGCATTAAGTCTAAAAGATTACCACCCTTACCTTAAAAGGGTAGAGATAAAGATTCTGAAGAGAATATCATTTTGAAGAGATAAATATTCAATAACAAATATCTTATCATCTTAGAATAAAAAAACACAGACAAGCACCTTTCATGGCTGTTCAACATTGCGTTCGCATCAGTTTCTTCGTCCTGGTTCCCAACTGTGTTCGCACTTTCATCTTCGTGAGAGGACGACTCGTTTAAAGCAGTCACATTTTCTCCGTTGGCTTCATCGACATCAGGTTCCTGGTTCAGGATCAGCTGAGCCGCAAACAACCTTCTGAAACAAGTCATCTCTGAAGTAAATTGGCCAATTTTTGAAGAACATCCGACCTAGAGATTAATAATTTCACGTCCTCGCTACTGCGACACGGTCACTTGTCAATCTTGCCAAGCACTAGCTACCAAAAAAGCAGACAATTAGACCGGAATCGAACCCCCGACTAAAAGATAACAAGTCTCACGTCCTCCAAGAAACATATGTGTACTAAACATACGTGTTCGCTGTCTAATTGATGTAGCAATTAAAACTATGTTCTGGAAGGAAACATGGTTTTGTAAAATTATCAATTGTCTTCAGGGAAAAGAGCTCTTATCCACTCCCCTCCTCGCGCATTTTAATTTCAATTTCCAACTGTTTTGACGGGGGGTTGAGAAATTAGACGATAAGCAAATTAGACGGAGGTACTTAAATGGAACTTAGACGGTTTTGCAAAACTGCAATTGTGAGAAAATAGACGAAAGTGAGAGAAATTAACTTTGTTTGCACACAAATTGCGTTAGAAAAACAAAATTGTTTGTAGACAACAGTTCAGGTTCGGTGCCCAAAAACTTTACAAGTCAATCATGCATAATTTATTCAATTCAAAACTCTCCTATAATATTCAGATTTGACATTTTATGTTCCTTTAAACTAATTGTTTTGATAGGTATTGACATTTTATGTTCTTTTTGTATTTGTGAAATTTCACTCTTCAGAAAAATTTTTGTTGGCCCTTTCAATTTCGTCTTAAATGCCAGATCTGTAAAAAATAAATTCCGTCTAATTTCGTTTTTGTAGCATCCGTCTAATTTGCTTATCGTCTAATTTCCTAGGCCCCGTTTTGACGTAGTCAAAATATAATGAAGACTTGCATGCTGAGCAAACTAACTATTGTGAACATGTGCGATGTTACAAATTGTAGAAGAAGCAATTAAAACAATATGCAATTTACTTAAGAATATTTAAACAACAATCACGCATGTAGCCATTAAAACAACTAAGAAAAGTTGTAAAACAGGGGAAGGTAAAGAGCCAAAAAAGTTGAATTTCAGCGCAACTAAAATTGTAACAAATTAGCAAAATCTACTAACTTTTTCTCTTCAAATTTGATGTCGTATTTTTGCAAAAGCACTGCACAAAGAACATTCACAGTTGCAATAACTGCCAGAAGAAAGATACCCGCACCCTTCCACGATTTGTCCTTGAACAGATTGCCACTAATGCTTGAATTGGACGAACTGTTGAATGTACCCTATAAATTACACAAGCCTCATGTCATTTCAAGTTCTTTTTCAATACAAACACATCTATACCCAGCTTGAGTAACAATAGCTACTCAAACCAGTAGCCGATTCAGGGGGACGCCCACATCCCTCAGAGATTCGACCCCCTGTTGACTTTAAAGGTCCCCACTTCTGTACAAGTTTACACAGAGGCGAAGCGGAGCTTCGCGCCACTTGCTATACAACACAAACAATAAAAAAAACATTAAAAAAAACCAGCAGAATTTTATATGTTGAAAAAATAGGAACCAAAAAATTCGGATGTCTAGATAAAATCAACTAGGGGCCCCAGCTAAAACTGGAGGTATGTATTTGATTATTAATGGATTTGCTATACGGATGTTGCACGAAAAAAAAAAAAGTGATTTCAAAAATTGGACTTAGCCCAAAACCTTAGTTGTTTCTCTACAAAGTAAAATAAAATTTTTTTTTGGGATAATCAATTTCCCCAAGAAGATAAAAATACCTTTTCAAAAAATTAAGGAGCCACCGCTTCTGCAGCAACCATTATTGCAACCGGTTGTTTCACTTGAACTTTTTATCTCAGATTTGATTGAGTAAATTTTAAGAAAATTTCAAAAGCTTTTAAAAAACGGTCAAAAGTTCTATCAAACGGTCAAAAGGATTTCAAAAATCCATGCCTTTTTCCTGCAAAGAGCAAGTTGTTGCCGCTTAAGCAGAGTAAATTCCCAAAAACCGGGTGCCTCGATAAAACAACCTGAGAATTGGCACGGTAGTTTTCGCGTAAAGTCAAAAACTTGGCTAAAGCTTCAAACTTCGACTTGTTTGAAGGCCAAAACTTTTTCGTTAATCAAACTGGGCAAAGACAATTATAAAGAAAAGCTTTCAACGAGTTGTTCTGATTAAACCTATGATTTCAGATTTGGCTGGATAGTTAGAGACAAAAGTCCCCAAAAAACCGTCAACTAATCAAAAATTTGACATTTCCGAAAATCATAACTTTTTGTGTGAAAACAGGGCAGGGTCGCTTATGTAGAAGGGATTCAATCAACCTGTAATCTCGATTGAACCCAAAATCTGATTTGGCGAAAAAATTCTCGCAGAATATCCAAAAAAAAACGTTCAAGAAATCGAAATGTTGACTTTTCCGAAGGTCATAGCTTTTGGTGTCAGAAAACTTTGGGAGCAGTCGCATAATCCAATGAGATTCTCACAAACTGTTCTCTGAATTGAACCCAAATTCTCAAATATGGCAGGGTAGTTTTCAAGAAAACAAAAAAACAATACGGTTCAAATATTCCCCCACAGACTTTTTCGAAGGCTGTAGACAGAGGGTTATAGCAAAAAGAGACTCTAAGGGAGTATACAGGCACAAAACAAACACGAAAGGTGCGGATGGAGAGCTCAATTTGCGTTCTCTTGAACCAACTCAAAATTAGGTCACTGAACCGATAAAAAATATACCGAAATAATTAGGCCGAAGAATTTTTTAATAGCGAAACAATTAAACAACGAATGAAATACAAAATCAAGGCAAGCAAAATGACAAAATGTAGGAGTAAATCAAACAATAAGAGAAACAATAAGTAAAAATGCCCGCAGCAAAAAAAAACAAATTCAAGATGTGACTTTTCCGAAGGTCATAGCTTTTGGTGTCAGAAAACTTTATGAGCAGTCGCATAATCCAATGAGATTCTCACAAACTGTTCTCTGAATTGAACCCAAATTCTCAAATATGGCAGGGTAGTTTTCGAGAAAACAAAAAAACAATACGGTTCAAATATTCCCCCACAGACTTTTTCGAAGGCTGTAGACAGAGGGTTCTAGCAAAAAGAGACTCTAAGACATCTAAGCCGATAACAGATAAGCAGACAAATAATTGGGCGACTGGGTCCTGGTCAGATTCGAACCCAGGAACATTGCCGTTCAAGGCATATTCGATACATCCAGGCTAAATTGGCCCAGAATTCAAAATAAGTAAGTTACAAGTGATTCTCTTAAACAAGTTGACCCGAAAAAAAGTTTGTACTCCAGTTTGATAACGCTCGCTAATCGCTAGCGAAAAGACATCCATATTTGCCTGACCGAACCAAAATTTTTCCTACAGGCGCCAACCAATACAAATTTAGAAGCGCGCGATAAAAAAACATGATTTTTTGGTCAAAACTTGATTGGCACGTTTTCACAACACTTGCCCGCGGCGCAAAAAAATTGGTCAAACTAGGGTTTTAATAGGGCATTGTGAGAGCCCTAAAAATTAACTCGGTCACCCTGACAAAATTACAAAACTTTTGAATTTTTTTCAGTCTCGCATGGGACTAAATGATCAATCGTATTGAAACAGTTTTAAGTCGTGATGTGGAGCACAAAAAAAAATCCGTTTTATTACATTTTAACACAATTTTAGCCAGTATGGTCAAATTTAAAACACAGAGGCGAAGATTCGCTTCGTACACTAGCGAAAACACGACAAAAGGCAGCTCTATAAAGTACAATAAGAAGTAGAAACAAGCTGAGAATTACTAAAAATTAGGCTATGTCTCATATTCGATCTGCGTCTCACGCAGTAACCACTAAGCCACGAAAGATCAATTAATAACAAACACTTGCCTCAAAAAAAAGCAGAGAACAGATGTTATGTAACTTCCAATGATAGATCGTGATTATAGCAAAAGTACCACCAAATAAGTGAACACTTTCTTCTTTCAATGAACACTTTTAGAAAAAAAAAGAAGATTCGCACTGATTCACTAGCTGCTCACTACTATAAATTCATTCTCTTTCGACCAAAACAAAAAAAAAAACACTTTTTAGCACGAACAAATATGAAGTTTTTTTTACCACAACTTAAAAAAAATAAAAATAAAAGTATGAAATCAAGTTCTATTTGCATAAAATACGTCCAGAAACAATCGACTTCAATTACTAAACGCTCAAAACTAAATAACAAGCGTCAACGGAGTCAAAGAAACTTGATTAATTTCCCGTAGAACGGAAAAAAAATTTGTTGTCAGGAAGAACTTTAAACTAATCTATTCTCAGAATTTATGCATTTCTTGTAAAGGAATTTCAGTTTGAAAGAAAAAACTATTCCTGCTCAGATTCGAACCAACAAACTTTTCCATCTGACATTCTTCACCTAGCCTTCGCCTCCAGTCTAAGTCCGGCACCTAGCCTTCACCTCTCGAGACCAAAAATGGCAGTACAAAATCGAACTCGAATTTGATCCAATCAAACGAGCAATTTAAAGCGATTGCGCTTTTTCGAAGATTTCAAATTCAAGGTCAAATCTTCAAGTGCATAAAATTTTTAATCAACAAGGATCAGATATTTTAAAGGTTTTGGAGCTTTCCCCCAAGATATAATTAATCTCTTACAAAAAAAATAAGTAGTAGCGTCTTCTGCCGGAAATATTCGCGCAACCGTTTCTTTCAATTGAACTTTCCATCTCAGTTTTGCTAGACAAGCTTTAGGAAAATTCAAAACAAAACTAGAAAAACGGCCAAAGCTCAAAAAGTTGACTTTCCAAAACCCGTTACTTTTTCTGCTATCAGCAGGTCCGGCCCGGCAAAACAAGAGAAGATTCCCAAGATCAGGTTTCTCGATTGAAGACCAAAGCTGAGATTTGGCAAGGTAATTTTAGAGAAGTCAAAAAATTTCCACAAGAAGGTCAAAGCTTTTACTGGTTTGTGGTCATCACTCTTTCTAAAAACAAATTAGGCGTGGCAAATTCAAAAAGTAAGCTTCCAAGAACCTGTTGTGTCGAATAAACCTATGATATCATATTTGGCAGGATAGTTATCGAAAGAAAACAGTCAATGAATCAAAACGATGACATTTCCGAAACTAATAGCTTTGCTTTTTAGAAAAAAAAGTTAGTTCTTACTTGTCACAAGCTTAATGCACATCGTCCTAAATTTCTGTAGTAGTGATGGCTTCGGGCCAAAAATGGCAGTGCCCAATTGAACTTGAATTTGATTCAATCAAACGAGCAATTTGAGCCATTGCGCTTTTTTCGAAGACTTCAATTTCAAGGTCAAATCTTCAAGGGCAAACAATTTTCAATCAACAAAGATCTGGAACTTTTAAAATTTGAGAATTTTCGCCAAAACATAATTATTCTCTTACAAAAAAAAGGAGTAGCGCCTTCGGCCGGAAATATTCGCGCCACCGTTTCTTTCAATTGAACTTTCCATCTCAGTTTTGATAGATAAGATTCAGGAAAACTCAAAAAATATCTAGAAAAACGGTCACAGCTCAAAAAGTTGACTTTCCGAAACCAGTAACTTTTTCTGCTCAAAGCAGATCGTGCTCGGCAAAACGAGAGAAGACTCTCAAGATCAGGTGTTTCGATTGATCATTAAAACTGAGAATTGGCAAGGTAATTTTCGAGTAGTCATAGAATTTCCAAAAGACTGTCAAAGCTTTTACTTGTTTGTGGTCATCACTTTTCTGAAAACAAATTAGGCGTGGCAAATTAAAAAGTAAGCTTCCAACAACCTGTTGTGTCGAACAAACCTATGGTATCATATTTGGCAGGATAATTATAGAAAAAAAAACAGTCAGAGAATCAGAACGATGACCTGTCCGAAACTCAGTTTGCTTTTTTTTTTAAAATCGTTTTTTTAAATTTATTTATTGAACTTGTGACAAATTTAATGAACAACGTCTTATATTTCTGTAGTAGTTCTGACTTGAGATCAAAAATTGCAGCGCAAAATCGAACTTTGATTCAATCAAACGAGCAATTTAAAGCGATTGCGCTTTTTCGAATTTCTCAAATTCGAGGTCAAATCTTCAAGGGCATACAATTTTCGATCAAGAAAGATCAAGAATTTTAAAGATTTTGGAACTTTCCCCCAAAACATAATTAATCTCTTACAAAAAAAAAGAAGTAGAGCCTTCAACCGGAAAAATTTGCGCAACCGTTTCTTTCGATTGAACTCTCCGTCTCAGTTTTGATAGATAAGCTTTGGAAAAAGTCAAAAAAAAATCTAGAAAAACGGTCGAAGCTCAAAAAGTTGATTTTCCAACACCCGTAACTTTTTCTGCTATAAACAGGTCATGCCAGGCAAAACAAGAGAAAATTCCCAAAATCAAGTTTCTCGTTTGAACACTAAAACTGAGAATTGGCACGGTAATTTTCGAGTAGTCAAAGTATTTCGAAAAGACGGTCAAAGCTTTTTACTGGTTTGTGGTCATCTTTTTTTCTAAAAACAAATCAGGCGTTTCAAATAAAAAAAAAGCTTCCAACAACCTTTTGTGTCGAATAAACCTATGATATTATATTTGGCAGGATTGTTATCGAAAAAAAAAACAGTCAACGAATCAAAACGATGGCAGTTCCGAAACTCATAGCTTTGCTTTTTAAAAGAAAATTTGAAATTAGTTTTTTTTAAATAACTTGTAGAACTTATGAGAAATTGAACGGACAACTTTTGCAGAAAAGATCCATCCAACCTGCAACTTCGATTGAACCCAAAAACGCATGTTTGGCAGGTTAATTCTCGATAAAAATCAAAAGCGATCGACGGCAATGAATGAAAACTTAGAAAATGATTAACAAGCAACAACTGACTAGACGAAAATTAAATATTCTCCCGTATAACCTCAAATATATTTGTTGTCCGGGAAAAGTTTTTAGTATGTATTCTATTCTAAGAATCTGAGCATTTATACAATCTGAAATGAAGCGTATAACTTATGCTTCCTTTGAAATTCCCTTTGAAATTAGGTCAATTGCCGATAAAATATAAGCCGAAATCATTTAAGCCGAAGAAAAATTTCAAGCGAAAAAACAGCAAAGTATACGAAGTCAAGGGTACTAAAATCAAAAACTGCAGGAGTAAGTCGAAACGACAAAACAAGCAGACAACTATAGGCCGATATTTTTTGTAGTAAAGGAACAATTCCAGTTTGAAAAAAATCTATTCCTGATCAGATTCGAACCTGAGACATTTGCCGACCTACATTCTTCACCTCCAGTCTAAGTACGGAAAATTAGCCTTCATCTCCAGTGCCGGACTCGCATAGAAATTATAAACGCGAAAAAAAATTTAAACAAGTTGAAAGTCTATACGCGAAAAAAAAGGTCTATATTCCTGCATAATAAATGTCTTAACCTCATTCATTGACACTTAAGTATCTCTGTCAGCAGGAAAAAGGGAACTTACTTGTTCTATTAGAAACTGTAGAGTATCGAATGAAATGAAAACTGTTGGCAACTTGAAATCTGCTTCATCCAGTTTCACACCAACTGTCGTATCCTAAAAAAAATGACTTCTAATATGTTCGTCTTAAAAAGTAGAGAGGCCTAAGATGATCAAAAACTATGATTTGTTCAATTGTGAGGTATAAAGAGTCGCCAAAAGTTCGGACCTATAGAATTAATTAAAAAGAGTAAAAGTTAACATTGAAGAGTTTGTCTTAACGGCGAATTCTACAAAAAAAATCAACTCTTTCAATGAACAATGTCTGTCCCTTTTTTGCAACGGATTAAAGATATTGTCATAGTCCAAATCAATAATTTGAATTTACACTTATTGTCTTCGTTTTCGGTAGTTTTTAAAATAATTCACAGAACTTGTGACCAAATTTAATGGACAACGTCTTAAATTTCTGTAGAAATGCTGGCTTGAGACCCAAAAATGGCAGTGCGAAACTGAACAAATCTTTGATTCAATCAAACGAACAGATCAAAGCCATTGCGCTTTTTCGAACACTTCAATTTCAATATCGAATCTTCATGGGCATACAATTTTCAACCAACAAAGATCTGCCTTGCTTTTTTTCACAGCAGGAGCGACTACAAAACATTTAAAAACTTTAACAAATGTATAGTTTTTAACAAATTTATCGGATAACTTCTATTTCTGACCACGTGACTGAAAAATTGCGTTAATCTGTAACCAAACTTGCAATTGAAAACCAAAACAGCAATGCACCAAGCAAAACAAGCGCACTTTGTCAGAGATGTCCAATTTTAAAACAAGTTTTTGAAAAATTAACTTCATATGTCAAAATGAGTCCTTCCACTGCCGCCTGTTGAGCCGATTCCTCAATTGCGGGCAATCTGCAATTCACGGAAGAGACGTTCGAAGTCCAATTCGCATCATTAGTGACCACCATACCGTTAAATCCTCCATAATCATTACAATTGTTGCCATTTTTCTTCTCGTGTAAGTAAGCTAAGGGTACTTTTTGGATGACTTTTTCTGGATTCTGGAACTTAACACATAGCGAGCACAACTGCCCAAACGGCTCGGTATTTGACTGGGAGAATAATTTCACCTCGCACACATCAATAAAGTCAACGGAAGCTATGTCGCTGGCCGCTGAGTTTACATCAGGAACAAACAGCTGAAAAAAAAAGATACATTGTAAAGCTTTGCAGCAAACTAGCTTGACAATTTGTCAGCAAACATTTTCAGTTTTTGTTACATGTTAATTCTTTTGATAAATTGATTTAAATCAATTCATTTTAAAAAAGTAGATTATAAAAGGGGCCCTTCCGTTTAGGTACGATCGTGCACAAGCTGGATAGGGCCCATACCAGCATTATATAAATACATCAGTAAACAATATTGCAGGAATTAAGTCAAGTCGTTAAAGGTATTCACTTCAATCATCCCTCCTCTATAATAGAATTGAATTGAATTGTCTACGACAGAATTATTCGCTTAGAAATTTTAGATCTATGAATTGCTCTGAGCTCAGTTTCACTTACTAGTATTAGAAGGCACAATAGATTTGCTTCCATGCTTAGATTCATTCTTTCTAAGCTATCTAAGAGATCAAACTTTTTAATATCCTTAGACACGCCATTTCTTGGTTCTTAATTCAGTTCCAGCCTTTCATTGAACAATTCTGAAATTAGAACAATTATTTACTGTATTTCTGATTATTTGGAAAAAGTGGAACATTTTACACGGAGGCAAAGCATAGCATAAGACGAAAACAAAGAATGAAAAAGGTTACAACCAGGTGACCCAAAATTTTTAGGTCTCGATGAAGGACACGTAGGGTCAAACTAAAGCTGGAGGCACGTGTTTGATACTTTTGAATTTGTGATACTGATGCAGGACAAAACGCGTAATATCAAAAATCGAACTATGCCCAAAACCTAAGTTGTTTCTCTACTAAAATGAGTTAGTGAAAACTTTTCAAATTTCCCCACGACACAATTATTCGCTTTAAAAAATCGAGGGGTAACTGCTTCTGCCGGAAAAACTCGCGCAACCAATTCTTTCAATTGAAATTCCAATTTCAGCTTACAGTTAATCAGAAGGTCAGAAGTATCATAGTAACCGAGGTTACAGTCAGGAGTCCCTTCATCACGTTGTAACATTCGTCTACTGCAGTCACACATGAGGCTTAAGAAAAATAGGCCCTATAACTATTGGCTCAAGAGTCAGGGACACTATCTCTTGTGTTTTTCTACCTCAAATCAGTCGGAGCCAATTCAGTTCGTTTGTGACATGAGACTACGACTCGTTACAGCTTAAAGGCTACTACTAAAATATCCCCCCCACTCTAGAATTAATAACGTCCCCATACTCAGGTCTCTAGATACCCAAAATACATGAACGCCGTTAAAAACCGGGTCGGAACAATCTGTTAAGTTACTTTTTATTGGACAGTGGAACTTTGATCCATTTCAGATGGATCAACCTAAAACTCGCCTTACCTCAACATAACAATTATAAAACACACTCTAGAAATTTAAATTAGTACTCACATTGTAGCACGCTCAAGAATCAGGAAGTAAATAAGTCGGTGAGCAACTCAAGAATCAATAAAGTAACTAAAATGAGTTTAATGTTTGTCAGTTTTAGTAACTAGCGCAAGTTTGTACTCTAGAATGTCATTTTTCGTGAACCATTGGGACACTCTAGCTGTCCACCTTTCCACCGAAGGTTCACTCTAGTCCAGTTTAGAATAATACTCCAATCACAACAATCCAGTTCGTAGGGATGCGCTCGTCTCTGTTCTAGATGGGACAGCTCTACTCTAGATTTTTATCGCTACTGAAATTGCGAATAGCAATTTCCCACTGATTTTTCTAGCAACTTTCCCGCGATTGTCACTCGATTGTTCTGACTTCTCTTTTTTGACTTTCAGTTATCGCGAGAAAATCGTGCATGACATGCTCCATTCGAAATTTTGAAAAACTTCATTTCACCCCAAAATCAAGTGCTCTTGCTTTTCTCAAGGTCAAACTTCCAAATATGACCGACTGGCACATACTCCCCGGACTCGAGATCGATGTCCTCATCGCGTGCTGTCTTCTGCCAGTGAGACCCAGACAACCGAGTGTTACTCAAGATACAGTGCCAGTGGTCATTTACAGAAGTTTGCAGCAGACTTAAGCTTATCTACACCCCAAAATTCACAGCCATGTAAAATTTTCACACTATCGCTAAACAGCAATCAAAATCTGCACACACCTGCACCCTTGAATTCTCGCTTTCCAAGCCAATCATTTAAAATTTCTTTTGTTCTATTCAATCAGGAAATTGTCATGCAGCATTTTGATTTATATAGTAAATATAGTATATTAATAACAATATTTGCTTTGTTAAAATTTCTTTTTCGTGAATCCAGGTTTCACCCGGATCCACGCTCAAGCCCCTTTTCTTCTCAAGACTCAAGATCCATTCGAGCCACCTACTCACCTCGCACTCTTCGCCTTGGAGGTACTGCACCCTGAAGTACTAGATACGGCAAACTGTCTCAACAGTTCCTCTTCATCATCGGAGCTAATCACAATCTCCTCCCAAGCCTTCAGCTGTTCGTAGGATCGCATCCATTCTCTTTGCTCTTGCAATCTCTTTGCCTGGTTGGGTAGTGCCTTCACCCTAGATTCCCGGTTCAAACAGAAGGAGTTGTGCAGGCTCAAGCTCACGTTCTTCGCCAGGTCCTCCTCTAGTATCGATTCCCTCGCCTTGGTATTGTCTCTAGACATTTTACCCACTCTCTTCCATCCTGTCGTGATTGCATTACGATGGGTTAACAGGGGTCTCTTGAAAGCTTCCGGCCCAATCTCGGCCTGGAACTGTCGATACTCCTTTTGATGTTTTCTCATGTGATCTTTCGTTGTCATGTACAACCAAGACGTCAGCGTCGCCCGAAACCATGGGAAATACCTCAAACGGCTCCAGACATGTCTGACTTCCGTTGGTATGGCGAATACCTTGCACGCAGTCTCAAACAACTCGAGTCTCCTACTGTATCCTATCGCGTATACTGACTCAGCCGTTGGCGTCCCCGCTTCCCGATACTTCGTTATATTCTCTTCTATCCATCTCAGAGCCAACATCGTACTCACTACCAAGAGCGTCACCTTCTGTCGGTGATCCGGTAGTCCGATCGACCGGATTTCTTCCATATCCCACACCAGACAAAGGTTCTTGTGATCTGGATACCACACCGTTTGCGCCAAACAGTGGCATGGGCATTCTCCATGGGTGATTTCAATGCTCCTGAGGTTACGCTCCCCCGAGGCTTCCAAGAGAGGCTCAAGCTCCATCATTTTCTCATGCATCGTGTCGTTATCCTCCAGGTTTGGAGCACTTCCCACAGGTTTCCCGATCACGTTTTGTCTCTCGTGATCGCTTGTGTTCTCTCTCTCCAACTTCAAAAGTTCTTCTCCCCAGATTTCACTCAAGTCATCTCTCAATTCTTTTGGTACTGTCCCTCTGATTTTTCTCAACAACTTGTGCGAGTGATGCGATATCCTAGCCAACCTCACGCACTTGGGCACTGAGAAGGCCTTGTCCACCATTACTCTCTGGCTGGATGCTTCCACCATCGCCATGTGCAGTGGGTAGTGACTTCCGCACAAGTTGGCCATCATTGACCCTATCAGGAATTTTGCGTTCAATGACAGGCCATAAGCTTCGCTCATGGGAAACCCCATTTCTGCCTCAAGACCAACTTTCCAGCTCCGGATGTGTTTTTGAGTCACTTGCAACACCCCAGGCCATGATTCTACGCTCAACGCCGTCACCCAATGGTGTTCAGACTCTAGTCTTTCCAATGACTGCAAACTACACATTCTCGAGAAAAATCCGAGAGCTGTCGCTATATTCACCGTGGTTCTCGCGTAACACTCCGCTACTATTTGCACTTCACTTCTCTCCCTTTCTGTGATGTCTTCGAACCAAGTGACCAGGTCTTCTTTTTGAAAGGACAGTATTCTGACGCATGACCGTCCATCGCAGGTGTGCTCTCCGTTTCCACACGTCGAATCCAGACAGCTACCCGGCTCCAATTTCTTCGCTGACCCGGGATTGTTCGTCTTTTCGCTTGGCTCTTGCATCTGAGGTGAGATTAGCTTATGCAGCACACTCAACTTTGCCAGATCTTCATCTTCCGTTGGTGCTAACCTCACTCGCTCGGTGATTTCCTCGATCAGACTCGCGTGGGGATGTGGACACCAGGAGGGTCTAAGTAGCTTCCACACCACTCCCAAGTTCGTGGTTAACAAGCCATTTCCATCGCCCATGTTCACTTCAACTCTCTTGTTTGAGCGCGGTATGCTTACCACCTCTGGTGTTTTCTCAAGAATCAGGCCCAAGCTCGGCCCCTCTTTTTCCACCGCGTCTATTTCCATTATTCTTTCTGTCCAAAACTTCAGTAGCTCCGCTACCTCATGGTTTCTGTGGGCGCCCCCAGTTTCCAAGTCTAAGAAGGGGTTGTAGGCTATTCCCATCACTCCTGACACGTATTGGTATTCCCCCTTCTCGCTGGGTCTCGAGTACTGCTCTGACGAGGCCAGGTTACGGTGAACATCATGCTCTTCTTCGAACTTCTTATTATAAAATCTCCGTACCTCGTCCAGCTTTCTGTGGTTCTCTAGGGACAGTCTGGAACCATCTTCTTTTTCTATACCAGTACTCTGATACACGTTTAAGATGATCGTTGAGACTCTTTTTTCCACGGTTTTACTTCCGCTTGCTCTCTGGTGGCATGCCAAGAGGGTACTATCAGACATCATTGACATTATCCATCTCAAGAAACATGTGGCATCCTTCCTCCTAGCCAGGCTCAAGCCTGAATTGTCCCTAGCCACGTGTTGCATCAATGCTTGATACACATCTAGCTTTTTGCTTCCCAACTTCAGTCTATCATACGAGGTCAATGTCTCCAATTCTATTCCCACCAGACTCCAGGTGAACATTAATTGTCCTGCAGTTCTAACGAAGGGATTCGCCATTAATGGTGGTGCTGATGAGGATGTCCTCATTGCCTCTTCAAAATGATCCTTCAACAAGTTCTGCCAGGACCTCTTCAGCTGATTCGCCACTTCTATTTTATTAACCTCGGCCTTTTGCTGGGTGGCCCAATTGCGTCGCTTGCGAGCTACTCCACTGTCCAATTTCTTCAAGCAGTCCTCCATTTCCTTCAATGTCTCGAGGGCCACCCACCACGTCCGGGAAGTGTTCCTCGTCTTGTTCCTCTCCAATGGATCACTTGTCACTCGCTTGCCCATGGCCTGGTGTGCCTTCGAGATCCATTCTTTGCCGACATCTACTTCCCATGTCTGTCCGTTCGTTGAACCTCTCTTCACGTTTATCTTCTGAGGCTTGAAGTCTTCCTCCGATGTCGAACTGGTGGAAACCTCTATTTCCCTCTCTACTTCAAGTGGTCTTCTGAGCTCCGAGCTGCTCTTGTATGCCGCCGTCTTGCATCGAGCCAAAACCATGGGCGCCGTCTCTCTCAAGTTTCCTTCCGAAACAGCATCCACTGAAGGACTACCCAATCCCTCCACTTCTCTCTTCCTCTTGCGAGTCTTCACATCTCTGCTTGAGGGTGTTGTGGCTATCATCACTGATTCGACCTCTCTGTCTACCTCCAATCC